AGTTGTGAGGAAGAATTCATGGTATGAGACATGCAGTTGGTTACCATGTGAACATCTAGATGACACCCTGCGTCGGGGAGACTCTCACTGCATTGTCCTCTCCGGAGACACGGCGGCGACCATCTGGGCCAACTGGGCGGCGTCGAGGGTGCCATCTGTTGACACGGCCGCCAGTGGGATGCGGAGCGGTGGGTCCACTTGAACAAACCTGCCAGTCTGGTCGTGGTAGCCGCTGAGTTCGATGCAAGCCGGGCGGTGTGGTATTCGCAGCGCGGGCCGCTTCCCATGACCGCCCAAGACGCTGGCATGGTTGGGTATCTTAACAAAGGTTGGAAGTCTAATATCTAGATATCTTTTCCTTACCCGAATAGAGCTACAAATCACAAAACCGTCCTCCACGTTCGGCTGCGCTGCTTCCTGTAGGGGAATTGACATGGATACCAGAAGCAGCCACCTACTTCAACTAAAACCGATTGTACGTAAAGTTGAACACCGGTTCCTGTATGGGAATTTGCATGGATACCTAGAGCAACCACCCATTCCCGAACATAACCCCTCCTGCGAAGAGCAGCTGTCCAGTACGGAGTCTAGCCGATACCTACTTCAACACAAACACCTTGTGTGCAAAGTTCAACTATACACTACGCCCATCCCCTGACTCCATCCCTCCTCCGATGCGAAGCTGTCCACTATGGATTCGAGCAGATGCTCCTTCCGCATTCGCGCACAGCCTGCGCAAGTCGGCGCAGCTCTTCGCCTCCAGCTCGGCGCGCAACCACGCCGCGCCTCCCTCGCCATGTCCATCTTGCAGGCGCTGCGCCTCTGGCTCCTGCTAACCCGCTTCAGGTCTGGGAATTTATGGATACCAGAAGCAGACACCTATTGGAACCAAAGAAAACAGATTCGCAACAAAGTTGAACTATACACTACGCCCATCCCCTGACACAGGTGAGATGTCCCTAACAAAAGATGTACATCGTATATCTACATGTCCTTTTCTTCCCCGAACTATAAAACCGTCCATACCACCTCCAGTCCGTCCTCCGCGTTTCGCAGAACGGCGTCCTGCAGAGTAGCCATGGTCAGCGCGCCTATTGACGAGAAACTTATGGGGTGTGTTGAAACTTCTTGCAAGTACATTCTTCATTGCTCTTGCCTTGCTGTATGTTCCCGGCTACGATCTGTGCTAGCTGGCCCTAGTTCTGTGGAGACTTGCGCAATCTCACTTTGAGTACCACAGGTCTGCTTGAGCCGCCGTGTACAAGGTCGACGGAAGCAACCGTGTCGATGCATCGCGCCACAGTCTCGATACTCCAAGCTCAAGGATCTGGCGAGGGTTTCTTTAGTTTGGCAAGAGAAGTGAGGAGAAAAATAAAACAAACTACTTTATAGTGCTTGCTCTTTGTCCCAGCTGGGCGTGTTGCAAATGACATGCAGGTTTTGGGTGTTGGACAGGTTCATTTGAGTCAAGAGAGATTGCTTTTGTGGAAGTGCAATCCTTTATTTGAGTTCAGCTTTCCCATCAATGGCTAGCATCAAACAACACAAAACTATGTGTCGAACCGTTGGACATGGTCTTGCTATTTGGGCAAGCTTACAAAAATCATGATGATTGCTTTGGATTGCGTGGAATTCTGCTCGCTGCACGTATGAGAGCACATGAACATCCAAATCAGTGATAAAAAATTTTATGTAGACGATTGAGTTTGTTGCAACAAATGAACGAGACAGCGAAAACCACTTGCACCACAATTGCTAGCCACATGCAGACCAAAGACCTACTCCAAGAAAACACTGAAGTAGGTTGTTATTTTGTTTCCTTAACGATGGCATGAAGTACGCGCAGCAGAAGAGAGGAGGCTCGGTATTCTTTCAGGTCCATTTCAATGTCAACGACAATTGCTTGCAGCAATTGAACCATTCTTGACCGAACAATATACCATTCATTTTTTTGCATCCAGTCACTGGTTTGTGTCCGCCTTTTCTCAGGCAGAACTGCGATCTTTGCAGGTGCATGTTGCAACTGTACTCACTTTGGTGTTGATGTTTGTAACGGTTTAGATGCCTACTTCGAGGGTTCCTCCACTTGATAATTTCCTTCACAGATCCTTCAGGTACCTGTGCCGATGAACCTGTGCCGACGGTTTGCTTCGATCTCTCTGACAGTGTCCGGCCATCTCAGAGCCAGTTTGTGCGGCTGCCCGGCTCGTGTGGCTTGCGCTTGTTCAGGGTTGGGACTTGTTGTTGTCATCATTGTGTTGTATTCTTTCATCAGCACGTGAGGAGCAAAGACATTGGTCTGAATTGTATTGCAGTGGGTTGGTCGAGGACACGCAATGTTGATCACAGTCCGGCTTTAGTGAAGTCCTTCATCCGTCAACGAATACAAACACTTACAGTAACTTGCAGTTTTCATATTGCCGTGGTGCACGTGGACCATGCGCCAAACAATCAGCTCCTGCAATGTGATTTGGAGCTATTTTGCTTGAGAATTAGGCATTCAATTTTGCAAAAACAGCCATCCATCCCAATACAGGTCAGTCACCTGGGGTGAATTTGGGTGGAAAGCATGAAAACCATGAGTTCCCCGCATGGGCTATGTTTGATCTCCCAGGTGTTCACCAGGGTACGAGAGTATTGATTCAATGCGAAGCATTCACTGTCTGGCATGTACTTCCCTATGCAGGAGGGAATGCTTGGTACTCATTGAAGAGTGAAAATTGGTCAGTATCACAACAGAGATGGTAATGAGCTCGAAGGATATCAAAGACTGGAAAGCGATGGAAGCGAACCTGATTGCTCAGATCATCGGACATGAAAAACAGTCCGTTCTTGTTTCTACTAGCTTCTTGTTACTACTAGTAAGGCACCTGTTACTACTAGCG